GCCGGGGCCTAGTACGTAGCGGTACTTGTGATTGCACTGAAAGGCTGCTCTGTGACAGGCAATTCGCTTGATGCTGTCTGTCGTGCTAGTTAAAGCTCCAACCCTGCAAACTGTATCTACAGAGATAATATATAGTGATATTTATATATAGCGATATCTGAGGGGATTTTCTGGTTTGTGGGGATACCCAGAAAGGTTTGTGAGCTTAGCAAATGACTAGCAGGGCTGTGATTTTGCTTTACTGCCAGTACACGGGCCACTGGGGTTCAGTGTGCCATCAGGATACAGTATTTTTTGTCAGCACCCTAGATTAGCATGCAGTCAACTCATGTACGTTTATTTCTTTGCAAAGGAATAGGTTCCATTCATGGGCTTCACGGTTCCTATCCTATACATAGAATCATAGAATGGTTTGGATTGATGCATACCTGTATGTGTGTGTGTGTGTTTATTAATTTTCAAAAGCTTAGTACCATTCAGAGTGCTTTACTTCTTTTTCCACCTAGATCGGCAGATTGGTTATTGGACAGAATGGTATCTTATCCACACCTGCTGTTTCATGTATCATCCGAAAGATCAAAGCAGCTGGTGGAATTATTCTAACAGCTAGCCATAGTCCTGGGGGACCTGGAGGAGAGTTTGGAGTCAAGTTTGAGGTGGCCAATGGAGGTAGGTTTTTTTTTTAATAACACGTTAAAACATTGCGTCTTGGTGTGACTAAAATACACTGACAAGGATAACTAGCTGACCATTTGTTTTTAATTTATTCTGTTAAATCGACGAAGAACATATGTTTTGGTTTTGGTTTTCTTTTCTTTTTCTCCCAGTAATGAGTGTATTTGTTTACATGGGTCTGTACAATAGGCATTAAATGTTCACTGAAGTCCCTGTGGTAGCTGTTAAGTTTTCTATAAACAAAGAGATTTGCCATTTCTATAGCATTTTATGTAGTCTGCCAGATCATTGTAACAGTTCTGATCCTTTTATTAAGTTGACTATGAGTGCACTGTGTTTTGCTTATATTTTGTGTTGTTTGTCTTGGCATTTACTTTGAAGTGTATAATTATGGAAGTGCTGTAAGCAGTGTAAGCCATTGTCTTGTATGTAAGAAAGCACTTCTCAAGTTCACCCTGGAAATAACTGGTCTTATCCAGGGAGAGGGTTGTGACGTTTTAACTATTGTAATTTCGCTGTTGAATAATGAGAACTTGAGAAGGGGATGCTTCTCCCTTGTCCCTTGTTTAATTGAAAAACGTGCATGGTTAAACCAACATGATTTTATAAACAGAATAGGCTTGAATCCCAGAGAGATTAAAGGGATGGTGTCAAGTCAGACAGTGGGAAAGCCAGGGTCACAGCGGAAACATACCAGAGCCAAACCGTTAGGTGCGTTAGCACTCTATAAACTTGAAAACACCGTGTACACCTAAAACCTGTTTGATAACAGGGTAACGGTGGTGTATTCTTTTTAGTATACTTTGCCTTTTTAAAGAAAATTCGGCCAGGCTATTAGGCTTTAAATATGAAACACTCCTCAAGCACAGGTCACAAGAGTCGTTTATTTATGATA